TCAACATTCTACAAACAATACCCCATAATGACAACGTGAATGAGGTTCATTTTTAAATCTTTGCAATTTATTAAAAATAAAAAAAAAAAAAAAACATGTACAATTGAGCTCTGGTGCATCCCGTTCCCACTGATTATCCTTGAGATGTTTCCACAACTTGATTGGAGTCCACTTGTGGGAAATTCAGTTGATTGGACATTAGGAAAGGCATAAACCTGTCTATATAAGGTCCCACAGTTAACAGTGCATGTCAGAGCACAAACCAAGCCATAAAGTCCACGGAATTGTCCGTAGACCTCCGGGACAGGATTGTATCAAGGCACAGATCTGGGGAAGGGTACAGAAAAAGTTCTGCAGCATTGAAGGTCCCAATGAGCACAGTGGCCTCCATCATCCGTAAATGGAAGAAGTTTGGAACCACCAAGAATCTTTCTAGAGTGGGCTGCCCGGCCAAAATGAGCGTTTGAGGGAGAAGGGAGGTAACCAAGTACCCGATGGTCACACTGAAAGAGCTCCAGCGTTTCTCTGTTGAGATAGAAGAACCTTTCAGAAGAACAACCATCTTTGCAGCACTCTACCAATCAAGCCTATATGGTAGAGTGGCCAGACGGAAGCCCCTCCTCAGTAAAAGGCAAATGGAAGCCCACCTGGAGTTTGCCAAAAGGCACCTGAGGGACTCTCAGACCATGAAAAACAAAACTCTCTGGTCTGATGAAACAAAGATTGAACTCTTTGGCCTGAATGCCAAGCGTCATGTCTGGAGGAAACCAGGCACCGCTCACTACCTGGCCAATACCATCCCTACAGTAAAGCGTGGTGGTGGCAGCTTCATGCTCTGGGGATGTTTTTTATTGGCAGGAACTGGGAGAGTAGTCAGGATCGAAGGAAAGATTATTGCAGCAATGTACAGAGACATACTTGGTGAAAACCTGTTCCAGAATGCTCTGTACCTTAGACTGGGATGGTTCATCTTTCGACAGGACAACGACCCTTAGCACATAGCTCACATAACAAAAGAGTGGCTATGGGCCAACTCCGAATGTCCTGGAGTGGCCCAGCCAGAGCCCAGACTTGAACCCGATTGAACATCTCTGGAGAGATCTGAAAATGGTTGTACACCGACGCTCCCCATCCAACCTGATGGAGTTTGAGAGGTACTGCAAAGAGGAATGGGAGAAACTGCCCAAAAATAGGTGTACCAAGCTTATAGCATCATACTTAAAACGATTTGAGGTTGTAATTGATGTTAAAGGTGGTTCAACAAAGTATTGAGCAAAGGCTGTGAATACTTATGTACATATGTTTTTTTTGTTTTTTTTTTTCATAAATTGCATCGATTTCTAAACGAACTTCTTTCACATTGTCATTATGGGGTATTGTTTGTAAAATGTTGAGGAAAAAAATTAATTTAATCCATTTTGGAATAAGGCTGTAACATAACAAATGTGGCAAAAGTTAAGTTCTGTGAATACTTTCTGGATGCACTGTATTTAAGGTTTTAAATCTGTTCCTGTGTAAGGTGTTACTTGGAGCTATACATAATGTACCCCTAACTTATAATAAAAACCAGGGTCAGGAAGAACAAGCGCTACAGGCTTTAATAAGTTTACTTGATGAAAATGAGGTAAATGATGTGAACCTAGAGGGGGAAATAACTGACAAATTAAAATGGAAAACTAGGTTACAGATGAGATCATTGTTGCATTAAGGCTACTCTGCTTGGGAGATTACCTGCTTTAGCAGTCTGTGTTCGTCACAGCTGCTTTTTTTTCTTTTTGATATCCCTGGGTTAGCCCCACTACACTTCGTGATGGATAGGCTGTTGACATTGTACGAAATGTTAATACCTTACTTAACTAATTGCTCTAGTAAATCCACCTGTTGGAAAAAGTTCTTTTTTTTCTTATTTGTTTTTCACAGTTTTATATTTCATGATCTCTTGACATGTACTTTTACAAGATCGTCTGTAAGCCACCATAATAGGCTTTCTTCATAAGCTAGCTTGCTTTATATGGTAGATACATCCACACCTTGTAAAAATGTATATTGTGTACAGGCTGTAACCTGATGGTTTTTTTTTTTTGTCTTGCCAATTGATTTTAATAAAAGAGCTTGGATTAAAAAAAAAAAAAAAAATCCTCCTCATCCTTTCATTTCTCCATTTCCTTAGTATCCACCTCCAGACCACTAAACCTTAGTTCCCAGTCCGCCTGCTGGGTCTGGGGCTTAAAGTTGGCCAGGTTCTCAAACAAACATTCCTTGGCATGAAGGAACACCTACGGTTTCCATAGTGGGTGGAAATTTGTAACTATCTTGAACACTTGAACTGCTTGCATCTCAAATGTCGTGGGAGGGAGGGGGGTGTTGATATCCCTGCCCCCTCCCATGTCATGACACAGATTAGCAAATCTCCAGCAGCCCTCCCAGATTTTATGGATCAACATCTTGTTTCCTTAGTTTCTGGGGTTTTACCCCAATCTGTTTAATGTCCCCAAACTTAAAAGCGGTATATTGGATCTAAAAGCAAGGAACATCTTCATTCAAGCTTAGAAATTCCATATCCAATTCACCAGTCTGTGAAGACTCTCCAATCTCAGATTCATGTTTTCCAGTCCAGGAGTCTTGTGACTATGAGGTTTTTATGACCTGATAGTATCCTCCTTCAAGCCAGTCCTTTTTGCCCAGTTTCACCCTAGACCTCAATAATGCAACTCTTTTTAGTCTTGGAACAAAGTGAGTCCAGTCTCTTGACAGACCATTTTCTTTGGCACCAAGGACCAGGTTGTCTATCTCTGGTACTGTGGAAGTTCTTCTTTGCTGTCTCTTGGAAAATCTTAACAATGGATGCCAACCTCTGGGGCTGGGCAGGAGTCCTGGGAACTCTGTTGGTGCAGGGGACTTGGTTGTTGGCATTTTATCTCCCAATCAACCTTCTGGAACCTTCAGGCCATCCGACTGTCCCTTCAGCATTGGACCCTCCTGCTGGAGTGTCATCCGATCTGGATTTAGTTGGACAAAGACATACACCATACAACAACCATGAAAGAGGAACCAGATGTCTCACCACAAGAGGGGTAGATTGCATCATGTCCTGGGCAGCAAGTAATTTCCCACCCTTGTCTGTCGTGCAGATCCTAGGTGTGGACAATTGACAGACAAACTCCTCAGTCAGCAGCGCCGGGCCACTGGGAAGTTCTCCATATATCCAAAAGTGTTTCGGGAATTGTGTCTTAGTTGAGGGAGGTTGGATGTGGACCTCCTAACTTCCAGGTTCAGCATCAAACTGGGCAGGTTTATTTCCAGATACTGGGATTTCTTAGCAAAAGCATTGGATGCTTTGATGGCTAGGTGGGATCTGAAGGCCCAATATATCCCCTTCTCCCTTAACCACTTCCCGTCCAGCCCATGTATATAAATGCCCGGACGGGAGCAGTGCAGGGGCGGGTGGCCGTTTATAAACGTGCTTCACAGCTTGTGTGTGCTCCCTCGGAGCACGCAGCACCACGATCCGGTGCCTGCTGTGTCCTCCAGACACAGCGGAACACTGTTCGTTGTACAGGACCTCTGTGTGAGGCCCCGATCATGTGATCACTGATTGGCCAATCAGTGATCACATGGATAGTAGTAAGCAAGATGTCACTTCTGACATCATTGCTTACTACTAGTGAAATCTGTGAATGATCACAGAGGTCACATGGTACAAGGCTATTCACAACAGCCTTGTACCACGTGACAAGCTGTGACCAATCAGCTCACACAGTATTTCTCAGTGGGAGCAACAATGCAGCCAGAGAGAATTAGAAATTATTGCTTTTACAGCCTTTATGGGTGTAAAAGCAGTCAGTGTAACAGAAAAAAAAATCTTCATCACTGTACTGCTAGGGTGACAGTATGTTAAAAAAAAACAAATAATATAAAAAAAATAAAACAAAAATGCTATAAAAAAAATTTGAAAAATTATTATTTTTGATTATAAACTAATTTAGTTTTTTTGTTTTTCTTTTACTAAATATATAACTGAATACATTTTGGCCAAGATTATTGAAGAAAGATTATTTGCTAAATTTTATAAGAAAAACACTTTTTTCAACATTTGTGGACTGTTTCATTTATATAGCAAAAAAAAAAATTCCAGTGGTGAATAAATACCACCAAAATAAAGTTTTATCTGTCTCAAAAAAATGCTAAAAAATTCATATGGGTACAGTGTTGCATGACCACGCAATTGTCATTCAAAGTGTGATAGCACTGAAAGCTGAAAATTGGCCTGGACGGAAAGGGGGTAAAAGTGTCCGGACTAGAAGTGGTTAAAACATTGTCTTCTTTACAGCGTCGAAATGGAGAGCATACTGGTGATCTTCTTTGCTTTGGGCTTCTTTTTTGTGCCTGTTGACATTTGTTTACCTTGTTGTCCATTCCTCAGTTGGACTGCTTTTGGACAGCCCAAAGGTTAAAAATTTCCTATATCCCTAAATAGGATTTTTGTACTCCTTGTAAAATCTTTTTCTTGGAGTCCACTGAGGGACACATGTCCTATCCCTCTGTAATTATGGACATGATCTTGGTACAGCATTACTACAAAATTGAGGCATTCGGGTAGCAGGAGGGGTTATTCTGGGCTGGCCTACTATTTTTTTTATTTTTTTTTATTTTGCCATCGTCAAATTCTCCCGTTAGTGGCAGTTTGACCTAAAGAGGGAAGACAGGAAGACGACTTGTGTCCCTCAATGGACTCCACGACAGTGCGTAATTTTTGTATTTGCAAATGCATTGCTTTGTTTTTACATGTATCGGAAACTCACAAATGGCTTTCTGTGTTGGTACTGTGCAGTGTTCTACATTTGTGTTTACATGAAGAACTGAGTACATGCGCTACTAATATAAGGGTTTCCTTCTTCACAGGCTTGCTGGAGGTCTTATCATGTTCGATGTGGGTTGGAGGCTAGGAAGAATGCAGCCGTGTGCATCCAGGCTATGTGGAAGAGTTATGTACAGAGAAAGCTCTATGTTAAGCAGATTCAGTTGATTCAGATATTGCAGTCATATTGCAGAGGCTTCCTGCAGAGACAAAGGTAAAAGAAGGACTTCAGTGAATGCATTCTTTACACAGTTTCTTTTTTTAATATGTTATCATACAGAATGAACATCAGTCATATAGGAAGAGTTTTTTTTGGATAGGCTTTACAGTCATACTAAAATGTATTACTAAAGTTTTAATCAGTTTCTTAATAAGTTAGGCTCTGGTTTTTGGAAGCTATGTTATCTTACTCTAAATTTTGAATGAGAAAGATGCTGCATTATGAATAGGTATTTGACTATATAGGTGTTTAAATCTGAAATAAATTTGTTTTAGTTTGTGCAGTCTTGTATAGTGCAAATTGGGAATAATTCATAACTTGAATTACAACTTTTCTGAATTGGCAGTACTTTCTTCATTTCATATGTAAGTAGTTTGATGAGAAATGCTGATTACAGCTCCAAACATAGTTAAAGGAGAATTATCATTTTTCTTCTTTTGCATTATTCAGTTCCTAAAGGTACACAGTACCTGTAGTAGTTTTTCTTATTTCCTACGTGCCCTGTAATGCTGGCTTGCAATGATGGACAGGGCACACAGCTGCCCAACACTGCAGCTAACAAGGAAGAGGCTGCTTTAATAGTGAGTGCCTGTCTCTGGCTTCCAGCACTTGACCAAGGCAAGCAGTAGCAAGAGGAATGCAGATATTGGTGAGCCTGATGCAGATCACCTCCCTCTGTAGCGCACTATCAAAGCAGCTGTCTCCTTGCTAACTGCTATGCTGGGCAGCTGTGCCCAAAGGGGAACGAAGGGGGAAACCTTGTCTGACATGGCAACTAGTATTACAGGGCACCTAGGAAGATGGAACAAAGTACAGCATGTACGCTGTCCCATCAGGAACTGATAAAAAGTTTTTTCTTTGTTTAAACAATAGAGCTCTTTTGAGTGCAAAAGACCAGTCACATAATTCCCTAGTCTGTGGAAGCTTACAATTCAGTGTCCTTACCACAGCCATATAAACACCTACAAATCAACTAGGGTCAGTTTTGGTGGAAGGCAATTATTATATCTGTATGTTTTCTGTATTGCGTATGAATACACACACTTTGGAAATTATGTCCTTATAGGAATCCAGGCTCTCTGGGGCTGCAGAATAGGAGTGCTGATCACTAAGATTGTTAAAAAGATATTTACTATAGCCATCAAAAGAGTAGATCATAGAAAGATTAGAGGTGGTGCTGTGAGAAATCTTACTTTGGCATGCCAATATGGTAATCAATGAATTTACCTTCTAGGGTCAAGGTCATGTTGGAGGAAAAAAAGAAAGTAGAAGAAGAGAAGCGGAAGCAGGAAGCTTATGAAAAGGAGAGGAAAGCCCTGTTGAAGGCTCAAAGGGAAGAACAAAAGAAAATGGAAGAGGAGAAGGAAGCCAAAAGGCAGGCCGAGTTGAGACAGAGTGGTGCTTCTAGAATAGAACCTGTGACATCCAGTGCATCTGAAAATGATACTAATGGGAAACAAACTGAAACTTTACTAGATAAAGGGCCAGTGGGGAAAGGAGGACATATTTTAAAAACTACTGATAGCGAGGGAAGGGTACTAAAAGAGAATGAGCATAACAAGACTATTAAAGAAGAAAGCTTAGGTGGAGACCGCAATTCTCAAGCACAACAACAAACAAGGGTTGAGGACTATGCCAGTGCATTAAATGCAGATCCTTGGATACCATTAAACCCCAAAACTGAAACAAAATTTTCAGACAGAAACTCTGCTAGGACTGAAAGGGAGAACAGGAGGCAGAGGTGTCTGATGCACGATATGCTCCAAAATAAACAAACATCCACCTCACTGGCTGAGGATGAGGTGGCTATGGTACCTCAGGATGAAAAGTCAGACAAAGAGAAAGAAGTGGCTAAAGCAAAAATGACTGAAGAGACAAATAATGACCAAGGGAAACCTGTAAGGCCCTCAAATCTTCAGTTAAATATTCAACAGGTTTCACAAAAGCAGTTGTCTGAGGAGAAAAACGAGCAAAACACACCACAGGATGCGGATGCTCCCAGTGTTGGGATCATACAGAGGTACAGTGATCACGAGAAGTTAAGAAACAAAGCAGAAAAGTGGAAAGAAAAAAGGCAAAATGAAACTAACCTGATTGAGTCTGCAAGCATACCTGACAGAGATGCAGCGCATCCTCGACAGGACTGCAAGGAAGTGCCACCAAGGTTTGGATCTATTCCTAAAGCTATAACAAAGCAAATCATTCATTGGGGGCACACAGTAGGCATCTGTTTTATAAGCTATACCTACAGGATGTTAAATAGGCTTTCTTCTGTGGGTTTTATCAGTATTTTCCAAGGTATGGCATGCACACCATTGGTGGGTACACATGGTTGCTTTAGATGGTGTAATACAAGGCTTAGGATTCATGTTCATGACAGATTAGTGTGAATACTAACTTTTTCTGCTTTCACCTATCATTGACAGTCACTAGATAGAGCATGCTAATTTAATAAGTAGCATGGTTGTACTTTGAACCTCTTGTTAATTGACATCACTGTTCTGATACTGACTCTTAGAGAGCACTCTATGGGATTAGAATAAAGGAGAGAAGAACACTCAGTGAGCCAGAACAAAGCATAAATTTGTGAATGGGGTCTTTTTTTTTTTTTTTTTTTTGTATTATATCCTTTTTATTACATTTTTTTTTTTATTACAAAAATCAGCATTGTATCAAACAATTCACAAATACAAAGATCTGCACATAAATAAACCTATTCCCTTCCCCTCCCGTCACCAATCCAAACCCCCCCCCCCATTAAAGTTCCCCTGTCCATACTTCGTATACTTTACTTCTAGTTCCTCCTGTATTTTTCTGTCTATATTTGTGTCCCTTGTCTCATACCCCTTCTTTTTTTTTTCTTCATATAAACCCAAATCGCTACTCAGTCAAACTCTACCTACCTTTACCACCTTACACTCCTGCCACTTCCAAATGTCTTTTGAATGTTTTAAAGTCTTATGTACTCCACATTTTTCTAAATTTTTCTATTTTATCTTCCTCTATATGATATATCTCCTGCATTCTTTTTATATATTCAACTCTATTTATCCAATCCATTATTTTTGGGGGCTCTTGGACTTGCCAGAATTTGGGAATAAGACCTTGGCCGCACTAATTAGATGATATAATACACTATTTTTATATAGTTTTGCGGAAGTCTCAGAATTATGAAATACACAAACCCACGGGTCCTTCTGTATAGTAATCCCCTGTATCTCCTGTATATCTTGGATTATTTCTTGCCAATACTTCTACATATTAGGACATTTCCACCATATGTGTGCCATTGTTCCCTTATTAATCTAAAAAACAAACTAGTGAGCGCTCTAATATAACTGAAGCAGCTAGAACACCTAAGGCAACCACAATGCCTATGGAATATAAGTATAAAGATAAATTAAATGGTGCAGCGCTTGTAAATAGATCCAATGCTGAAAACAGCAAGAAAGCAGCAAGAAAAACAACAAACTGAAAGTCAATCAAGTGTCCTTGGTACTCGCAGGGGTAGTGAGGATATCCAGAGCTATACTGCCTCAAATAATAGCAATGCGCACTCACCAGAAACGCATGGATTATGCGCATGTAACAACGATCATCCTAGATGATTGATCCGTCATAGAGCGGGTGTGTTTAGCTCTTTAATAAATACTATATATTTTTGAACATACTACACTATTTCTGGCACTTGTTTTTGGGGCTCCTATGTGGAGCTATCACTCCCACAGAGAGGGTGCCTATGCCATCTAGAGGAGGGATCACCACCACCATAGAGGATTACTTGGCTGACCTTAAGGGGATCTCTGGACCTGAGTTGGAGCCCTGGATGACCCACCATGAGAGGGATGCCCACCACCCGCTCTATGACGGATCCATCATCTAGGATGATCGTTGTTACATGCGCATAATCCATGCGTTTCTGGTGAGTGCGCATTGCTATTATTTGAGGCAGTATAGCTCTGGATATCCTCACTACCCCTGCGAGTACCAAGGACACTTGTTATTGTTCCCTTATTCCCACACCCCATTCAACATAGAGGTGAAATATCTAGTCGTTTATGTTCCACACTCTGTATAATATACCATCTTGCCAAACATTTATAGTTCATTTCAACTGTATTCATATTCATCACCTCGTGTGTTAATTTAAATATTTTATTTTTTTTATGCTCGTTCAGTTTTGTTCCCAGCTCCTTTTGTCATTTCTATAAGAACAAAGGAGTATCTGATCCCTGCAATTCAATAAGGATCTTATAAATCCTGGCGGTAACATGTTTTTGAACTGTGTTTGAACTCAACATTTTTTTCAAATGGATAAGTGTCCTCAGTGGTTGTAGGAGTGCTGCAACAAAATGTCCTATTTGATAGTACCTCCAGTCATCTAATGTGAAAAATAAGTCTTTTTTACTCTTTAACCACTTCCATACCGGGCACTTTTACCTTCCTGCCCAGGCCAATTTTCAGGTTTCAGCACTCACACTTTGAATGACAATTGCGCGGTCATACAACACTGTACCCAAACTAAAATTTATCATTTTCTTCACACAACTAGAGCTTTCTTTTGGTGGTATTTAATCACCACTGGGGTTTTTATTTTTTGCTAACTTAACAAAGACCGAAAATGTTGAAAAAAAAAAACTTTTGAAGAAATAAGAAGGAACCCGCACTGGGAGGGTACGAAAATAATATACAAATTTCGGTAGGATGGTCATCTTCATTGAATTAACTCGGCCTATCCAAGACAAAAGCAGGAACTGCCAAGAGCGCATAAGCAAGGACACCAAGCTAAGCAATGGGAAATATTTGGCAGCAAACAAAGAGCCATAGGTGGGGGTCAGGTGAATGCCCAAGTATTCCAGCGAAGATGAGGCCAATTTGTTGGGAAAAATGGGACTGTAAGGCACAAAACCAAATCCGAGGCCAAGGTGATATTGACAGCGCCAGTCTTATCCAATTATACGAAGGCCTGAGATCAAGGAGAAACACGCAAGAACCTGTTGCAAATTTGGGAGCGTCGTCAATGGATTAGTGAGGATCAAAAGAGGGCATCGTCCCTGTCTCGTCCCTCGCAAATGGGAAAGGGATCTGAGAAGTATCCTGCGAAGCTGAAGGAGAACACAAGGCCTGAATCCAAGAAAGGAGAGAATCCCTGAAGCCCCAGCGGGACAACGTGAACCGCAGGTATTCCCAGGATAAGGAATCTAAAGCTTTATATATGTCCAAAGACAATAAGAATCCTGCCAGTTTCCACTGCTGCAAAAGGTGTATGAGGTGAACCACCTTACGAACATTGTCGCCCACCTGCCGGCCTCCCAGGGACAAACCCCATTTGGTCCCTATGGAGCAGGCTACGTAAATATTTGTTGATCCGAAGACTGAGAATTTTGCCCAGTATCTTCAAATCCTCATTAGGGAGCAAGATGGGCCGACAAGCTTGCGGTTCCTGCACATCTTCTTTTGTCTTAGAAATCATTGAGATGTGAGCTCTGAGCGCATCCGGAGAGGGCAAAGAGCCCTGTCATAATTAATTGAAATAACTAGCCAAGAAGTGCAAATTTCTTATAGTAGAGGCCAAAGAAGCCGTCAGGACCCAGGGCCGTAAGGATTTGATAGCTTGAAGTACTTCCGATACAGAAACACCTGCATTAAGGGCTACCCACGCCACAATCCAGGGAGCCGTAAATCCTAAAAGAACGCTTCCACCTGAGCTACAGGGAAGGGATCTGGCTTGGTGTATAGATGAAAAGGAAGTCCGCGAAGTGAGAGACAATCCGCTGGGGATTTGAAGTACAAAGCCCCCCCCCCCCCCCCCCCAGGGAGCCACAGCTGGACCGGCTTATAGGGTTTCCCCACAGAATTGAGTTTCCTAGCCAACTGCGGACCCGGCTTATTAGCACAGGTATAAAACGTATCCTTGGTCCAGCGTAAGGCCTGTTCAGCCTCTGAAGAAGCAAGTAAGTCCAGTTCAGCAGCCAAGGTGTCTCGTATATGTTTATGGGCCGCGGATGGGTGCGGCATCCACCGAGGCCAGAAGAGAATGAAGTCCTGAAAGGCAACGCTCCTGCTTCCAAGCCACAGCCAGCTGTATAATGTGACCCCGCACCGTAGCTTTGTGTCTCCCACAACGACACTCCCATAGAAACAGATCCTGAATTGTCCGAAAAATATGTCCATATGAAAGATTCAATTTGCTGACATGTGACCTGGGTGGTCAATGAAGATTCATTAACATGCCAATGAAAAGGGTGCCGTGCCTTTCCAGAGAGTGCAAGAAATAGAACCAGAGGGTCATGGTCCGACCAGGGCGAGGAAGGGATGGAGATCCGCCGGACTAAAGGAAGCTGTTGTATCTGCATACATACGTGGTCAATTCTACAAAAACTGTCAAGGGGATTGGAGTAGAAAGTGAAGTCCCTCTCAGCTGAGTGAAGTTCTCTCCAAATGTCCACTAGCCATGCAGACTGCACGAGGGAGCGCATGCATTCCTCCTTCACCAAATCATGGGAAGAGGCCGGCCCCCGAGCACCGTGCCAATCTAGAGCGGAATCTAGGGTAATATTTGAATCCCCTAAAAGAATAAGAAGGCCCCTAGAGTGTCGGGAGATGATAGAACAAAGATGTGAGAAATATTTGTGCTGAATGTGATTAGGGACATAATAGGAGACAAAGGTGGCCTCCTGATCCCAAAGGGTGCCCTGCAAAAGCAGATACTTTCCCCTTGGGTTCGCAATATTCTGGACACAAGTGAAGGGGAGATTGCGCTTGAAAGCTATCAGAACACCCCGCTGTTTCTCAGGAGCCGAGGCCGCGTAGAAAGTGGGATAATGAGATGAAAGATACCCTGGGGCGGAGGACTGGGTAAACCTGGTTTCCTGCAGGCAGACCACGTCAATGTGCTGTGATTTAATGCGATGGAAGACTTTAGACCGCTTCTGAGGCGAATTAAAACCTCGTATATTTTGTGAATGTACTTTCAAAAGGGGCGAAGCCATGGTGGGATCGACATAATCCGTTCAGCAGAAGAGGCATAGGTCGGCCAACAATTTCCACTCTCAAGGACAGCCTGGCTATGGCGTCCCAAAACTCTGCAGTTAAAAAAAAAAGAACCGAAAAACCAGGAAATTGAAGACGATAAGAAAAGCAAGAGACAAAGAAACACAAAGAGTATGTACAATGGCATAACCATTTCACAGCTATGGTGAAATGTATCCTACACTCCAAAGATACCAGTTTGGGGTGGCTCTACCACTGGACACATGGCTGCAAATAAATGAATAACATAGGTCCCCAGGGGGCGAAGGACCGCAAACAGAAACCAGGAACCGGTCAATAACAGAGCTGAATTCCCCATCAGTAGGAATAGGAGTCCCCCAGGAAGTGGGACACACACATGGAAACCCTCCTGCTGGAAACCAATTAGGTTTAGGGACACAACCCCCTCCAGGGAGACGACCACCAGACACAGCGGAACCCAGCCAACTCGGCCCAAAAGGTCCCCTGCCCCAGTACCCAAGCAAGACCATCAGTGTGGTACCGAAGGGGCCCACTCGGGCTAACCTCCCGCCCCGGAACCCGAGAGAACTATCGACCCAAGCCACCCCCCACTAACCCAGCCACCCTCGTCTAAGACCCCTGGTAGCAACAGGGCAGCCACCAAGAGCAATGTAAAGGAGCATCAACCCCTGGTCAAACAGGTCAGAGCCTGAGCACGGCCAAGCCGGGAGCAGAGGATAAATCCCCAGTGGGGGGGAAGCCATGTGGGCCAGCCTAATAGGGCCCAAACATAAGGCAAATAACATAAATACAAATTAGTCTGTCTGCCCAAAATCACAGTTCCCACAGGTTCCCTTGTGGAAAAGCAGCAGAAAAAAAAGTCTAGTTATGACGTCAGCCTGGGCAAGAATGTGCAGGGCTGGACTGTAGAGGGGTCTAAGGGAGGAACCTCTTCAGCTAGATGTGTTTCTCCAAAGACACCCAAGCTGAGTAGGAACCGTCGGGGATCCAGATGGACATGTCGAACTTCGCGTAGCCTCCCCTGGCGGCAGAAGGTGCAGGGATTTCATGAGAGATTGAGCCTCTTCTGGAGTAGTGATGGAGTGGCTATGGCCTTGGTAATCAAAGGAGAGTCGGAAAGGAAAGCCCCACACATATTTGATCCATCGATTCACTAGGACTGAGGTGAAGGGCTAGGAGAGGTCAGAAAAGAGCTGATACCGGTGACCCTGAAAGCCAAGTTATTATTCTACATGATTTATATAGCGCCAACAGTTTGCTCAGCGCTTTACAACATAACAGGAGACAATACAGCAACAATACAGTTCAATACAAGAGGGATAGGAGGGCCCTACTCCTTGGAGCTTACAATCTAGGAGTTCCGATCTGTTTGTGGCCGCCTTGAGGATGCTTTCCTTGGTGCAGTAATAGGTAAATTTAACGATAATGTCTCTTGAGGGCCCGTCAGGCCACTTCAGTCAAGGCCCAATGTATGCAGTCGAACTCCAACCGGTCTATAGGGATAGCAGGGACCAGCTCCTGGAATGTGGCAGTGGAGGTGAGGTCCACGACCGATTCCGGGATACGTCAGGCAAAGGTTACTGTGGCGATTTTCGAAGTCCTCAAGCTGCAGCAGTGTGTCTGCCAGTTCCTGCTTAAGGTCGCCAAAATCCTGTTCATGATTCTCATTATCGTGACCGTGGTGTCCATCTTATCCTGGAGGTTGTTTGTGTGGCTCCCCAGCTTCTGGATCTCCCTGGTGAGACACTCTGCAAGCTGAGAGGTTGCGGTCGTTAATTCATGCTGCAGCATGATTTTAAAGCGGCATAAGAGCTCCGAATCTCACAGGGCCAGAGGAGGGGGTGGCTGGGAAGCATCCGGCCTGCTGTCAGTACCGGAGGCTGGGTCTGGGTCCCCCGTGAGCATCGGCGACCGCAAATCCGACCTCGAGGCCGAGGCTTCAGGCGAGTTCACTGGCGGGTAGGCCGCAGTCTCCGGCACAGCCTGCCGGGCGGTAGAGGCACGGAAAGCTCCCATTTTCTTCTCGATCACCTGGGCAGCAAGCTTCAGGCACCTGAAGAGGGGTGAGGAGTGGGTATTTTATCCCCCTGGGGGCCCGTATAGTGGCTAATGTGTCCGGTGGGTGAGGAGCGCCGTTAGAATGTGGCCATCCTAGGTCGCTGCTCACAAGCGCCCCCCCGTTTTGGATCTTTTTTTAACCTAATTGCTGTTTTTTTTTCCTTGAATGTCTTTCTTGTGTTCCTTCGTTTCTTTTCCATAGCTGTAAACATGCCTACCTGGGGTATCAGAGTATAGACATTTATGGAAAAACTTTCAAAATAGTAAGGCTCCATGCACACTAGCATTTTTTTTAAGATTATAAAAAGTTGGGAAAATGCTGATTAAAAAAACACTGGTAATATCTTTTTTTGTAGTGTTTTAGTAGTGTTTAGGAGCATTAGCAATATATTTGTGTTTTTACATTACATGTAGAGGGAAAAAAAAGCTGTTAGAAGTGTTTAGCATTTATTTCTGTTGGGAAAACGCTCTACAAAAACAACTTTTTTTTTTTTTCTTTATGCTCCTAGATGCTCAAGCTCTCAAAAAATGCTAATAGCCTAAAGTAGTGTGTATAGACACATAGGATAACACTATTTAGCTTCTAGGAGCAGAAAAAATATGCTGATAATAGCTTCTAGGAGCTTAAAAAATGCTAGTGTGCATGGAGCCTTAAAGTGTATCTAGAGTTTTATGTTCATTTTGGACAGAGCCCTGTCAGGCTTTTTTTACCACCTTTTTGGTAAAATTTTTCTTCCATTTCTTGCCCTGTTTTCAGAACTTCAAGTGAAAGGAAGTCTCTCAAAATTGAAGGAAAAAACCTACGTAGTATTTACTTGATCCCAATCCAGTGATATGCATGAGAGGAGCTGCTGTCCTGGCTCCCTGCCTCCTCATTGGCTCAGAGACAGAAGCAGGAGCCTTTGACTTCCACTGCTGTAGCTCACAACCAGTGAGAAGGGAACTGGGGCGGGGCTGAGCCCCGTTCTGAGTGCCCCCATAGCAAGCGACTTACTATGGGGGCGCTTGGCAGGGGACCTGAGTAGAGGAGAATCAGGGCTGCTCTGTGCAAAACTCTTGCACAGAGTGGGTAAGTATACCAATTTAAGTCTTTAATATCACTTTATGGGACAGTTAAGTGCAATAGTGTTCAAAGATACACATTAGTTGCACCCACCACAAGTTCAACCACCGATCGGTTTAAATCAATTAATTTTTTTGCCACAGTTATACAATTCTAAGTCTTAGCATAATTTTAATGTTTTTCTTTTTTTGTTTCCCAGCAGGGCAAAGGGGATTGTTGGAACTACATCAGCTTCAACAGCTATACAGTCTCCCTGCATTCCTCAGGTTAGTGATTGCCTAAATCCCTAATGCCCAGCCTGGGCCTCTGCACACAGTAGTCTGTTTTTCTTACATATATATATAGTGCAGTGCTAAAATCACAATAAAAGGCTTTGTGTATCAAGTGGAACAGTAAAGTGCATCACATAAGTGTATAAAACTTGCAAATGAAATGAACAGCAAATCAGCAAGCGATAAAGCAATAATGTACATGAGCAAAGGTGATAATAGGTGCACTGCAAGTGCGACTAAAATAATCAATAAATTTTGATCGCGATTGCACATTAGTAATTATTGCAACATAAAAATAAATGTCCATAAAAAAAATTCAATCAGTGTCCTATAGGATCATGAAATGCAGCAATCTAAAGTGCAGGACGTGAACGTGAAATTAATCACACAGGGTAATCCACCACCTTGGTTAGATGTACACCAGCAGGTTAATGATAATGGGCATATAGGTATGTCACATCTGAAGGCATAGAGTCAGTCAGAGGGTTAAACGAACTGCTCCATCAGAGGTATAGGTGGAAGAGGAACCCTTGTCCTAGGGAAGATAGCTCACTACTTCTCACTGGCTTTCAGGTACTCAATGAGATTCTCTTTAGCCCTCAGCCTGACTTCTTGTTCGGGCTTAGCGATGTCCCAGAAGAAGTCCAGGAACTGTCCTGCTGAAGGACCTCACGAGCAGCAGCCAGCCTGTCTTCTTTTTATTACCTATATGCTTACCTCAAGCCTGTGAAGGAAAATATTTGTCAGACTGAACTCCAATATTTAAATGGTTTTAGTTTTGTGTTGTACATCCCTTTATCTTTTAAAGCTGACGTTTAGGTATGCATTTTATAGCAAAGTTACGTTGATACAGGATGAGGTGAAAATCATGACACCACTCATCTTCTCCACTTTGTCCAATCAGAGAATTCTTTGCATTCACCAAGAGAAATGCAAAGCATTCCGTGAATGACACCCCTGCTGAGTGAGCGACCACCTCTGTTCACTATGCAGCAGGGCAGCCGCTTGGCGTAATACCCAGAATGTGGCGATAATCACTGTAGTAGTGGTGCCTACTGCAGTGATTTTCAGATTCCACAGGGATATCTCAGGTATGGTAAATGTATGCTTACAAGCTTGACCAATGTGACTATGCTAGAAAATGCATACCTGGAATTCAGCTTTAATGCTGTAACAATGGACCTTGTTGAGATCAATATCAAATGTGAAGTGTTTTCTCAGTTTCAATATTTTTTGAGATGTTTACATATGGAACATTCACAGGGGAAATTTTGAGCAGTTATGCATAGCAACCAATTAGTTCTATCTTCTGTTTTCAAACCGAACAAGCTGAAGATAGAGGCTGATTGGTTGCTATGCACAACTGCCCCAGATTCAGGTTTGATAAATTCTCTTCACAGTGTTTGATTGAAAAGTGATCAGGTACATATTACACATCTGCGACAGCTTTTCTATAAAGGCTTTACAATATGTAGAATCAGAAAAAGTAAATCCAGAGAGAAGATGTTTTTCCCATGTCAGTGAAAAGATACACAGACAAAAAGGAAATAAAAGAACAGAGATAAACATTTTCAACCCTTTATACCATCAGGATTCCACCCCACTGCCAGTCCCTCCTCCCCTTCTTCAGTGTTTCTAAAATCATTACATTTGTCAAATATTTATTTACCAGACATTTTGAATTTGGAACAATTGCTTTTAGACATTCAGAAATGTTTGCTATATTACTGTTTTGTTTGAAAAGGCACTAGCTTTTAAAACATGTAAGTATTGAGTTCAGGCACAACCTCAATAGACTATTTGATTTCAGTTAATCGCCATCTGCGTAAGGTAACCATTTTGGTTGCAATACATGTGTAACTAATAAGTGGCCTGTCTAGGTTGGAGTATTTGTATATATTCCTAGAATATATACCTAATTCCTAATTTCCTAGAAGTTGGAGTTTATCATAGTAGTGATCTCTAGCAGTCTCATGAAGCAATTTGCCAGTCTCCAGCTACTCCTATAGCATGTTTTGGACTTGCATGGTCTATTAGCCACATTTTCATTCTCTGACCATTTCTTCTTCTGTATGTCTGACATACCTAACAGTTTTCTGTAGCATTGCAATTGGGGCTCCTTGTATCAAGAAAGTTGATAACAGCTGGTCTACATAGTAGTTTTTTTATTTACAAAAAAGTGACCATGGACAATTCAGGAACACACACACACTTTATATCACACAGAGAAACGTAATATGGGTGCACCCATTTCCGGGTGTGTCACAGGGCATTAATTGGTTATCTAAAGAGATGGCACACACAGTCAGTCTGATTGAAACTCTATACAACCTGCCTGGACAAGGTGGGAAATCAGTCTGAGCTTGAGTTATTGCTTTTGGTAAATGAGAGTATTTTTTCAACAAAGAATAGCCAGAAAGGAAGCCTAGAGCTCTCCAACTGAATGATAATAAATTTACAATATTTATTTCTTTACCCGAATATTAATTATTTGTTAAGATATGTTTTAGTAACTATCATAATAAAAAAAGAAATTGTATAAATGGTAATCCACTGCAGAGACTGATTATGTATTCATTTTTACAGAAAACGTTTGCCTTAAACAGCCAGTTTAATTTTATTATATTTATTTTGACACTAATATCTCTTGTGCAGCTACCACCTCTGTCAGCTGACACTGATAAAGAACAAAATAAGCCTAATCTTCAGAAAAAGAAATCTATTGAAAACAAGGCTCCACCAGACAGCACTGCACAGTCCACGGACAAGTGAGTATTGCCAAAGAGGTCATGTGATTTTTCTAACTGTTGACATATATCACTACATCTGCTTAGATAACTTCTTTTGTATTAAAAGTAAAATAAAATATTTTGCCTACCACAGGCATACCTACAAGAGCCCTCTGTACAGGCTTCTGGGTAAGAAGCCTGACAAAAAGAACAGCAAAGATGGACCACTCACCCCAGAAGGCACAGAACCGCCATCCTTTCCACACTCCACTCAGGAGCCTTTAGCAACAAAACGATCCGTAGATGGTATGTATCAGGACTTGCACTGTATAACATTACTTTGTTTGCAAAACGTGCCTAGTAGTACTAAACTTTTTTTTTTTTTAACATATTATACATGTACATTCTATAAGAAATGAAAATTCAGCTCGCAATACTGTGTTTGCAGCATTTAGGTGTCAGTCCAAATTCACTGTAGATCCAGACATCTTGAGAAGGAAAACAACACACTCAGGACTACAGCTCCTTGAGATCAGGGATGTTCCAGCACTGCCACAAGAAACAAGAGTGTAGTAAAAGTAAATATATTGACAGCATAGCAAAATAGCATAAAATCACTTACATCAACAACAATAATGAAGCACTTTTACCAGGACAATCATGTTATCAGGCAGTGGTGTAAAGATCAGCAGCAGTGGTGAACAGAGGTAAAGCGGTCAAAGTTCAAAACCGCTCAAAAGTTGTAAACAGCAAGTGTCCGTGGGTGCTCCTGTCTCTTGGTCAGTAAGAATATGGTAGTGTTGGTTAAGCAAGGCAATATGTTGCAGGGCTCCACCCCTTTTCTAAAAAGCCTGATGGGAAGGTAGCAGGGGGGAATTTTACATCTAATTGGCATACAGGATTAGGGCATTGTAGGTATGCTCAACATCATACATTTTAATGAAATTACAATAAAAACTGGCGTACAGTGTAGAAGGCATGGATCACGGTGTATAAAACAATACTAAATTTATCAAAAATACCATGTTCAACATACCATGCAGTTTCAGAAGGGGCAAGATATATGTATATTATATATATATTCTAAAAAATGCAGCGAAAAGGTACACTTGTTGGGTAAAATGTTGAGCACTTGTAAAAAAAGAAATATAGCAAGCTTCATTATCAGAGTGTCCCCAAGGCTGTGTTCCATCAGGAGATGAAATGGGGAACGTGGAAGAAGGGGAGGATCAGAGCAGACAGGATCAAACCTCCTTTTTACTCAATGCAGAGGATTAACCCCTTAAGTCCAACAGTGAGTATAGCTAGCATGCTTTACTGCATATACTGACTGATTTTACTGTTGTGGGTTTAGTAACACTTTAAAGTGGTTTTAAAGGCTCAGGGTTTTTTACCTTCATGCATTCTATCCTGGCTGTCCCAGGTCTCTGCCTCCTCATTGGCTGAGACAGCAAGCAGCAGCCATTGGCTCCCACTATGGTCAATCACAGCCAATGAGGGGGGGCAAGCCACATCTCCTTGTGTGAATGGACACATGGAGCAGCAGGTGCCCCCATAGCAAGCTGCTGTGGGGGCACCCAACAGGAAGGAGGGGCCAAGAGAGCACTGCACACAGTAGGAAAGTAAAGACATTTTTATTTTAAAAAAAAAAATTAACTTTTAGAATCACTTTAAACATCTAACCTGATAAATACTATAAATGGGCTAAAATAAGGACTAGAATACATTATATAGAAAATTTAAAAGGAAATTAAAACCTATATTACTTGGGCTGCAGACTACTGTATAGTATTGATTTTCAAGCTCTTCATTTAAGCCTGCTGGAGCTATAGTTCTCATATACACTGCTAAAAAAAAAAATTAAAGGAACACTTTGAAAACACATCAGATCTCAATGGGGAAAAATATCATGCTGGATATCTATACTGATATGGACTGAGTAATGTTTTAGGAATGTAAGGATGCCCCATCGTTTGATGGAAATGAAAATTATCAACCTACAGAGAGGACTGAATTAAAAAACACCCCGAAAATCAAAGTGAAAAAATTATGCAATTGACTAGTCTATTTTGCTGAAATTTCATTGCAGCAACTCATAATGGTACTCAATAGTTTGTATGGCCCCCACATGCTTGTATGCATGCCTGGATAGTCTGAGGTGCAACCTGGTGGAAACATGATATCTCAGAGGTGTTCAATTGGATTTAGCTCAGGCGAGCAGGGGGCCATTCAGTGGTATCAAGTCCTTCATCCTCCAGGAATTGACTGCATACTCTCACCACATGAGGCCAGGCATTGTCATGCACCAGGAGGAACCCAGGACCCACTGCACCAGCATAGGGTCTGATAGTGGGTCTAAGGATTTCATCCCAATACCTAATGGCAGTCAGGGTCTAGCCTGCAGAGGTTTGTGTGTCACTCCATGGATATGCCTGCCCAGACCATCACTGACCCACCACCAAAATGGTCATGCTAAACTGTTACAGGTAGCATAATGTTCTTCACCGTTTTCTTCAGACCCTTTCACGTCTGTCACATGTGCTCAGGGTAAACCTGCTCTCATCTGTGAAAAACAGAGCGCCAGTGGTGCACGTGCCAATTCTGGTGTTCAATGGCAAATGCCAATCGAGCTCTGTGGTGTCTGGCAGTCAGCACAGGACCCGCTAGAGGACGTCGGGTCCTCAAGCCACCCTCATGAAGTCTGTTTCTGATTGGTTGGAGACATTCACACCAGTGGCCTACTGGAGGTCATTTTGTAGGGCTCTGGCAATGCTCATCTTGTTCCTCCTTGCACAGCAGTCCAGCTGATGGGTTAAGGACCAGCTCTCCTAGAGTAACTGCCTGTCTCCTGGAATCTCTTCCATGCTCTTGAGACTGTGCTCGGAGACACCGCAAACCTTCTGGCAATAGCACGTATTGATGTGCCATCCTGAAGGAGTTGGACTGCCTGTGCAACCTCTGTAGGGTCCAGGTATCGCCACACGTTACCAGTAGTGACACTGACCCTAGCCGAATGCAAAACCAGTGAAAAACAGTTAGAAAATATAAGTAAAACCATTCCTGTTTTGGGGGTCATATCATTGTTGCCCATCTAGTGCACCTGTTGTTAATTTCATTAAGACCAAAGCAGCTGAAACTGGTTTACAACCCCCTCTGCTACTTAACTGACCAGATCAATATCCCAGGAGTTTTTTTTTTTTTTAGCAGTGTATATGTTTATATGTGTTTCCTTATATACTGTATTCTAGCCTGTATTTTATATTATAGTATATTTTTGTGTAGTGAAGTTTTTTTTTTTCCCTATTGCCAGTGCCCATTTAACCATTTACCCAACATGTGTCTTTTTAGCTGCATTTTGTTGTAATACAAGAAATCTGTGAACAATGTCTCCCCTTGGCGCGACCCTCATTTAATTGCATGGTATCTTGCACATATGGAATTTTCCACACTAGTACTCTTGTTTTTACTAATAATTTTAGTATTGTTTTAATTCGAGGCAAGTGTATAAAAAAAATTGGATCAACAGGTATCATGTTCCAGGTCTGTCATGTTCCCCGTAAAAAAAAAAAAAAATGCTTAAAAACCATCTGTGTTCACTGAAACGAACACCTTCATTTATGACTATCCAAATGATTAGCCAAATGAGGAATGTGAAGGAATCTACAGTGGTGTGCGATTAAATGCAAACAGCGGCTGCTGTCAGTTTGTCATTACATGTTGAATGGCCACTGCTTATTGCAGACACCTGTCATCCCAGCCGCAACAATCTACTGATTTCATGCTGCTGGATTCCAGTGTATGCAGGTAATCACCTGTGTAAAGCAGGCCCTGCTGACCAGAAGACTGGAGCGCCAGTGGACACAGACTGTTTACACCTTATAAGTGGGCCCTGTTAGGAAGATACAGCTCCAGCTAGCTGCTGATTTCATCTCTGTTCACTGTTGCTGCTGATCATTACACCACAGTCTGCTATCCCGATTGTCCTGGTACAAGTGCTTTAATAGTAACGTTAATGTAAGTGAGTTTATGCCAATGCGTCAATTAAAGGTACTTTTACTACACCAGTCAAACAATAAAAGAGAAAGATTCCCAGCTCAAATTACCAACCAGCTTGTGAACAAACCGAATTGTCCTGTCTAACAGTATGCGTTAAAAATGGGTTTAATTAGCACACATTTGCGAATACATGCGCAAGCTGCAGACCCTTTTCACACTGGACACCCAGCATATAGCACAATGGCAGCCAGTGTGCACCCTCTCACCAGCATATCAACAGTAAAAAAAATGGTCACTGCCCCAATCTATAACTGGCCTTCACAGCAAGGAGCACATGGAAGGGTGACGCAGGCTCACCTGCCCTCAGTCTATCCATTTATACATGTGCTTCTACTATGGAGAGTCTCAAAATTTAGAATTGGAAAGTGCAGAATATTGGGGTGCCATGAAGAGGCTCTGCAGCTTACGTATGTATTTGCAAATGTGTGCTAACTAAATCCTGTTTTTAACACATACTGTTAGACAGGACAATTCGGTTTGTTCTCAAGCAGGTTGGTAGTGGAGCTGGGAATTTTTCTCTTTTACTGTTTGACATTCGTCGCCCTTCCATGTGCTCCCTGCTGTGAAGGTCAGTTATAGATTGGGGCAGTGGCTATTTTTTTGTACTTTTACTACACCAGACCTGTGCCTTTTTTATCTGTCTTGTTGTATATACATATACTTGTCTACACATATACAGAATTTGTCCCAAATGTGATTGACCTCCCTGGAGGTATTCCCGAGTGTAGCTCAGGGTAAAGTTTCAGCACAACAAGCAGTAACCCTGAGCTACACTCGGGAATACCTTGCAGCATTACTCCGGGATCTCTTCTTCACTTACCTTGCCCTTCACTCCTGCGATGTCCCCCCGCAGCGTCCCCGGCAATGTCCTCCGGCCAATGCCGGCATCTGTCTTCCAGGTTCCGTTCCCGGCGACGTCAGGATGTACGGGGACAGAACTGGCGAGAAATTTAAAATTGTCCAAAAGTGACATTCACAAAATACACTAAAATCTCATAGTAAAACATTACTGTATCAAACCATTTCACATACATTTTGTCCCTAGTGCTTTGTCCTGTGCCCTGCCTGCATTTTTACTGTTCTTTCTGCCTTGAAACTGAGAAACGTCCATGGCGTCCAAAAAGCGTCTCTTTAGGTCAAAAGCAGTTTTAGACCACCTAGAGAACAGCGATAGTAAATTAGAACTTAAATAAAGGAATGCGCTAAAACCACAAACTATTCCTAATTTAGTGTAGAAACATTAGTGCAAAAGATATATATCCTCAATTAATATCAAAAAATATCAAAATTATGTGCAAACTATTTTTTAGTGCATAAGTAATTTAAATAATTAAATTTGTGAATATAAAAATTGTCCAATTTTGAATTTCTTCAAATGTCCAAACAAATCCTTTTCAAATTCAAGTGCTCTCAAAGAAATTGTGCCAAAATCCACCACCAAAGTAAGGTTGGGTAACTCACCAGAGCTCCATGCTGATCAATCTCTAGATCAGCAAAAAACGCTTTTTGCTCTGGGAGCAGATGCAATAAATCAACTTCTCAGGTGTGATGATCAATAGCTACAAAATCATCCATAAGGTAGGTATCCACCACTCAATATAACAGTTCCAGGAGCATTATATCACTTTCTCTTTTTATATCTCTCCACCGAGGTCATGTTTGGGAATGAAAGAAAAAATCATGGTGCAGCCAGTTTTTTTTATAAAAGTATCCAACAATTTAATAAAGATTTACACTCACAAAAAGGGTGTCTTCACCGACACCAGTATAACAGCATAAAACAGCAAATGGTATAACAGTCTCCTGCTCCCCGCTCACTCACTTACAGCGCTCGTGACTCAATCCTCTCCACAGACGTCAGCATCCAGCAAGCCAAGCCCTACTAGTTTCGTCATGAATGACGTCTTCAAGGGACAAAACTAGTAGGGCTTGGCTTGCTGGATGCTGACGTCTGTGGACACTGAAAACGATTTTGCGACTAAGCTCAGTGATGTGCGAACTTGGCGCTATATTTCAAATTTCAGTGTTTTTGGTTTGATTATATTATTGAATTAAATTTGTTATATTATTATTTTTTATGATTATTTATTAAATTATAATTTATGATTTCGTGTTTCAAATTTTAACATACCCGGGATGTTTACTAGACTCTTGTTCGGACAGATTTCAGTGAATTATTCCTAAAAATTACAGCCTACAATAAAAAAACTACATATTTCCATGCAAAAAAATGTACCGCTTTGAGCACAAAAATACTGACATAATCAGACCGCTAGGGAGGTTAAGTATCATACATTCACATATTCATGTACTGCCTTATACTTATATGCATATTAATGCAATATTTAAATTTGCAGTCAAACACATATATTAATGCTTGCACACACATGCATTTGAGGAAGTATTATATATGCATGGACGCAGTCACACATGCACTGAATACAAATACAAAAATTATTTCAGACTGCCCCCTAGCCAAGCATGTTGGGGTGAATAGAGTTTTTAGAGGCTCTATCGTACAAATGTTTTTGCATTCACCATAGCGTTAGACCCTTTATTTAAATTTTTTTTTAACTTGACCTGTCTCCAGTAAGTATAATGTTAACTTTTAATTGTTATCCTGTATTGTAGGTTCAACTGTCACAGGGCAAACTAGTCGTCCATCTCCAACAGAGCCAGCTGCTAAAATTCGCAGGAATCGATCAATTAAAATCGGTAAAGCTGCCACCGTGTCTGAAACATGGAAGGCATCTTTGTGCCGAGAGATCACCAATTCTACTGAACTGAAACACCTTGATGACTTCTTGTTTGCTAAGGTAATGTACTTACTCCTGGTTACTGATAAATCAAACTTTGCGCTATTAAATGCTTGAGCATTCAGCACATTGTTGTGTGATTTGATGATTCTGCTATTAGACTGTGGGTCAGCAGTAATGAACGCTGCCTGCTGTGAACCATGTGGGGGGCAAATGGTTTACTGGTGAGGAGGCTGGGCACATCTTGTTCCAGATAAGAAACCGGTCATTGCTGGTAAAACACACAATGCATTTTACATCACACTTTAATTTCTGTGCCCAGAGTTCAGCTTTAAGTGATGATACAATAAATGAAAGATTAAACTGTTATGGATAGATATCTAATTGCTTAATATGTGAAGTGACTAATTTGTGTTTTACATTAAAGCATTTTTTATATATTTATCAAAGAATGCTTTGAGCTGCATTTAATAATGTGATTTGTAATGTGATTTGCAAAGGAAGACATAAGAATTTCTAAAGATATGGATATGAGACTGACATACACAAGCATTGAGCTTTATGATCCGAGAATCAAATGTATGTTCTGATTTTTTTTTATTTTTTTTTTCTCAGATTAACACTCTACATCAGGATAAAACAGCTATTGAAGGTCTACTCTACAAAGCAATGGAAATGTTCAGAGAAAACCTCAAGTCCATGTACTCTTCCCCAGTAAGTTGAATACCTCCAAAAAGCATAGCCAAGAGGTTTCTGTTTACCACAATAGAATGAACTATCCTGAACTGAGATTTGTACACTGGAAATTAAGTGAAGACTTATAAAGCCGTGAACATGGTATTAACCAAATATTCACAGTGTGTGTACATTCCTTGTGCATGTGTTTTTAATTAATGATTGATTTACCTGCAGCAAATGTTTGGTGAATGTCACATTTACTTATGAATAAGTATACCTCTTAAAGCAACTAATAAAATTATATTTATAGTGCAGGCTACATCAATACCAAGAGGGCCAATTACAACAGTATCAAATATTACATACCTGTTTGAGCCATTTTATGTATGCAGCTTGTTTCTTTTCAGAAAGGACATATTCATGCTGGTTATAAAGACCTTATGGAAAATTTTCAGCTTCTTGTGAACAACCTAAATAGAGAAAGGAATGAGAAGGATGTGAAGCTTGTCCTTAACCTCTTCCAGTCTTTCCTGGATGAGTTTACACGTGGATACACAAAGAGAGATGACAGTGAACAACACAAGGTTATTTTTTTTTTAATTATTTTAATGGGCATCCCGCTATTTTATATATATATATATATATATATATACCAGAAAGAGTAAGCCTGTCCTTTTAATATTTTTAAATAAACAGTAATATAGGCAATAATACAGTTTAAAGTATATTTTGTCACTAATGAGTCTGGCAATATAAATAACAGAACAGGGGAGAAATAACTGGTAGAGTATAGTAATTTGGCTTAGTTTTGTTTTTTTTTTCTAACTGTAAAATAATAATCCATCAAAAAATAAGATCGTACTTCACTGAAAGAATTGTTTTTTGATAGTTGCATTAAGTAAGTACCGTATTTTTAGCTCCATAAGACTCACCTGACCATAAGACACGCCTAGGTTTTAGAAGATAAAAACAAGAAAAAAAAATATTCTGAACCAATGGACTGCAGACATAGTACAGGAAGTGACCAGACACTGCGGACACAGTACAGGAGATGACCAGAGACTACAGACCGTACAGGAGATGACCAGAGACTGCGGACATAGTACAAGAGATGACCTGAGACGGCGGACATAGTACAGGAGATGACCAGAGGCTGCGGACACAGTACAGGAGATGACCAGAGACTGCGGACATACTACAGGAGATGACCAGAGACTGCGGACATAGTACAGGGGATGAACAGAGACTGCGGACACAGTACAGGGGATGACCAGAGACTGAGGACAGTACAGATGACCAGAGACTGCGGACAGTACAGGGCATGACCAGACACTGCAGACCTTTAGGGAGGGAGGGGGAGCGGGTACCTGAATTTGACAGGTACCTGCTCCCACTTCCGCGGAGTTCTCCTTCCTATACTGTGGGCACCCGACTTTGACAGCTGGGTGCCCACTGCGCATGTGCGAGAAGCGCTGCGCTTTGTGAATGGCTCGGCGTCTTTTGGGACCTGTCATGTGTCCCAGAAGACACCGGACCATTCACAAAGTGCAGCGCTTCTCTCGCATGCGCAGTGGGCACCCGGCTGTCACAGATGCCGGGACGGGAAGAAGCCGGCGCGGGAAGACTACAGCGCTGGACCGAGGAAAAGGTGAGTTCCTGCCGCAGAGAACAGCTGAGCAGCCGGCCCGGTATTCTGACATGGTGGCAGTGGAGATACCGGACCGGCCGCTTTATATTTGCTCCATAAGACGCACTGACATTTTCCCCCCTTTTTTGGGGGGAAAAAAGTGCGTCTTATGGAGCGAAAAATACGGTATATTGCTACACTTATTCTTGTAAAAACGAGATGGTGGATTTAGAGCTTGTAGAACTTAAAGGCAAAACTGTACAGCATGGCGTGTTGCTGGGTTTTGGTTTATGAAGAGTAAAAGTCTGGTTTTACAAAACTTTTCTGCCTCTTTTCAAACATTCTTTACTATTTTATTTATTTTTTTTTACTCAATTGAGGATATGTTAAATGGCAGATATGGGTTTTAAATTTCACACCTAGAACATTTAATTCCCCATCATCTTTACGTTTTTTATCACCTTCACTTTGTTCCTCACAAGGTCACGGGGTTCATATACACTTATTCTAGCATTAGTTACAGGTGTTTATTGGTGTGTAATTATAAATTATGCAGTGGGAAAAAAAAGTATTGAACATGTCACCATTTTTCCAGGTAAACATAAAGGTGCTTTTGACATTAATTTTTCACCATATGTCAGTAACAACCCTTGCAATCAATACATACAAAGAAACCCAAACGAATAAGTTCAGAAATTGTGCTATGTGTAATAAAATGGAATGACACAGGGATAAAGTATTGAACACATGAAGAAAGGGAGGTGCAAAAAAGGCATGGAAAATCCAAGACACCAACTGAAATCTATCAGTAATTCGAAAGCAATCCTGCCCCTTGTCAGTGCACATTAATATCTGCTGGTTCAGTCTCAACTGATGGCCTATAAAAAGGTGGCTCATTACCAAGGTGTAACACAAGAAACCTCTCATGATGGGTAAAATCAAAGGGCTCTCTCAAGACCTTTGCAACTTTATTGTTGCAAAACATACTGATGTCATTGATTGCAGAAGGACTCCTAAACTTTCCATTCTCTTCCTGTGAGCACTGTTGGGGCCATAGTCCACAAGTAGAAAGAACATCATTTCACCATAAACAGGCCATGACCAGGTGCTCCTCGCAAGATTTTTGACAGAGGAATGAAAAAAATTATCAGAAGAGTTGTTTGGTCAAACCAAAATTAAATTTTTTGGATGCCAGAATACATACCATGTTTGGAGGTCAAATGGCAGTGCAGATCACCCCAAAAACATCATACCAACAGTGAAGTTTGGAGGTGGGAACATTATCGTGTGGGGCTGTTTTTCAGCATGCAGTACTGGCAAACTTTGTTTCATTGATGGAAGGATGAATGGAAAAATTTACCAAGACATTCTTGATAAAAATCTGCTACCATCTACCAGGGTGATGAAACAAGCGTGGACATTTCAGCAAGACCATGATCCCAGCACAAAGCCAAAAAAATTCTCAATTGGCTTCAAAGAAAGAAAATAAAGCTGCTAGAATGGCCCAGCCAATCACCTGACTTGAATCCAATAGAAAATCTATGAAAAGGAATAAAGATCAGAATTCATAGAAGAGACTCGTGGAACCTTCAAGATTTGTGTGGAAAAATGGGCCAAAATAACATCTGAGCAATGCATGTGACTAGTTTCTCAATAAAGGAGGCATCTTGAAGCTGTCATTACCAACAAATAATTTTTTATGACTTATTGCATATATTTCAGTTAGCGTGTGCATTACTTTTTCCTGTGTGTCATTCTATTTTATTACACATAACTTAATTTCTGAACACCAATTGTTTTGGTTTCTTTGTATGGATTGCATGTGTTGTTGTGGACGTGGTAAAAATGTCAATGTCATGTTCATAGCACCTAGAAATATATTTACCTAAAAAAAAAATGGTGACATGTTCAATACTTATTTTACCTGCTGTATATTTGCAGTGGTCAGAGTTACAACCCTCAAATTTTCCACACAGACTACTGAATATCCATACAAATATAGTGCAAATTACAAAATTTTCAATTTATCCTCCGTGTGAAATTCAGAATTAATAAGTGCTCACCAGATGATCAGACCTTCGAACATAAATGGGTCATATGAGGCATGTGAAAAAATATATAAATGGTCACCCGGTGTCATTTTTTTTCTCTTCCCAATATTCATTTACTTTGTGTTTCCTCCTATAAGCATGTAAAGGTCAAAAGAAACAATCATAGTGTAGTATTTCCAACACAAACAAACAAAGTGAAATCATGCTCATATAAGTATAAAGGTGCAATCCTTAATTACAGTGAAGAACAGAAGTATTTGAACACCTTGCAATTTTGCAAGTTCTTCCACTTAGAAATCATCGAGGGGTCTGAAATTCACATTGTAGGTGCATTCCCACTCTGAGAGACAGAATTTAAAAAAAAAAATTCAGGAAATCGCATTGTATGATTTTTAAAGAATTTTATTTGTCTTGCACTGCTGAACATAAGTATTTGAACACCTAAGAAACAACAAGAATTCTGGCTCTCAAAGACCTGTTACTGTGCCTTTAAAAAGTCCACCTCTACTCCACTCATTAATCTAACTTAGTAGCACCTGTTTGAGCTCTTTATAGACACCTGTCCACCCCCACAGTCAGTCAGACGCCAACTACTACCATGGGCAAGATCAAAGAGCTGTCAAAAGACACCAGAGACAAAATTGTGGACCTCCACAAGGCTGGAAAGGGCTACGGGGCAATTGCCAAGCAGCTTGGTGAAAATAGATCAACTGTTGGAGCAAATGTTAGAAAATGGAAGAGGCTAAAGACAACCCTCAGTCTCCCTCGGACTGAGGCTCCATGCAAGATCTCACCTCGTGGGGTATCACTGATGATAAGAAAGGTGAGGAATCAGCCTAGAACTACAAGGGAGGAGCTGGTCAATGACATGAAGAGAGCTGGGACCGCAGTTTCAAAGGTAACTGTCGGTAGAACACTACGCTGTCATGGTTTCAAATCATGCATTGCACGGAAGGTTCTGCTCAAGTCATCACATGTCCAGGCCCGTCTGAAGTTTGCCAATGACCATCTGGGTGATCCAGAGGAGGCATGGGAGAAAGTCTTGTGGTCAGATGAGACCAAAGTAGAACTTTTTGGTCTAAACGTCACTCGTCGTGTTTGGAGGAAAAAGGATGAGTTGCATCCCAAGAACACCATCCCTACTGTGAAGCATGGGGGTGGTAACATGCTTTGGGGGTGCTTTTCTGCGAATGGGACAGGACGACTGCACTGTATTAAGGAGAGGATGAATGGGGCCATTTATTGTGAGATTTTGAGCAACAACCTCCTTCCCTCAGTCAGAGCATTGAAGATGGGTCGTGGCTGGGTCTTCCAACATGACAACGACCCGAAGCGCACAGCCAGGATAACCAAGCAGTGGCTCCGTAAGAAGCATATCAAGGTTCTGGAGTGGCCTAGCCAGTCTCCAGACCTAAATCTAATAGAACATCTTTGGAGGGAGCTGAAACTCTGTGTTGCTCAGCGACAGCCCCGAAACCTGACAGATCTAGAGATCTGTGAGGAGGAGTGGGCTAAAATCCCTGTTGCAGTGTGTGTAAACCTGGTCATGAACTACAGGAAACGTTTGACCTCTGTAATTGCAAACAAAGGCTTCTGTACCAAATATTAACACTGATTTTCTCAGGTGTTCAAATACTTATGTTCAGCATTGCAAGACAAATAAATTCTTTAAAAATCATAAAATGTGATTTCCTGAATTTTTTTTTAAATTCTGTCTCTCAGGGTGGGAATGCACCTACAATGTGAATTTCAAACCCCTCCATGATCTCTAAGTGGAAGAACTTGCAAAATCGCAGGGTGTTCAAATACTTCTGTTCCTCACTGTAAATCGCGTGTGCACACAATCTTCCTGTTAATCCAACCACTGATGTGCTGCACCCACATGCAATGGGCCCTTACCAAATAG